CCCACCACTCTTTTTTTTTTTTTTTTTTTTTTTTTTTGGGAACACATCTCCTGCCAGTGCTAGTGCCGCTGGTACGAGCAGACACCACTAGCACCCCGGGGGAGACTCCATCTATTGGTGGGGAGCAGCACCTGCTGGAAAGCGGGTCCAGCGTCCCATATGTACAGAATATAGACAGAGCCAGTTGGGGAGTGTGGATATGAGGCCTGCCAGCATTGATTACCCTGTCCCCCAGGGGATTGACTGAGCAGGCATTGGGTGGACGTGATTGTTACGAGGGGTCTGCCTCTTCAGCTTAAACCTGGCCGCCAGATACCACCGATATACCTAGCAGACCCCTCCTCTGAGAATTGTAGTACCCCTCTCCTTCCTTTCCCCATTTCCCCATGTTCCCTCATCCCCCGTACCATTTCAATTCCATGTTCCCTCATCCCCCATACCAGCCCAGGTCTACTCATGCGAGACGGCAGCACTCCCACCCAGAAGTCCCCTCACCCCTCTCTCCCTCCCATGTCATTCCTCCCTTCGTTCGTCTATGTACATCAGATCCACCCAAAACCATTCCCAACAACTCTGCAAGACTTCTGACCTCGCGGCCAACACATCCTCCCACGACAAAGCAATCACAACCGTGGCAAAACTCTACTCGTCTTTATATTTCCCGCAATAAGAACGTGGTCAAGTGACAAGATCCCAAAAATGCAGCACGCAGCACCGCTGACCACGCTTCTCAGCTAGGCTATACGGTGGTAAGACACGAGATTCTTCACGTCGTTAACTCCATGATGGCATTGACAATGCCTCCACCCGTATTCTTCAGAGCCTGAATAGCCTTAGCACGAGAAACACCGGCCTGGGTTTGGACGAGTTCAACATCCTTGGGCTCAACGCCGGTCTCGTCAACCTCCTCTTCCTCTGCATCGGCTGCCGAAGGAGCTTCTGACATCTTCTGCTCCACCTGGGCCAAATCAGGAGCCTTGAACTGCTCGGCAGCATTGAACTGCGCCTGCGAAGTCAGGTCCTCGATCTTGGCCTCGCCAAATATGACGTAGGTGTCCGAATTGGGGCTTTTAAAAACATCCGGCTTAGAGATCACAAAGAGAATGTTCTTGCTTTTCCTGATCGTTACTCTGGTAACTCCCGGGACAGGCTTCATGCCCAACTTCTGCATTGCCTTCCGACTCTTCTTCTCACTTCGGCTTTGCTTAGTCCTTCCGGGCCCTGCAACACCGTCCTCCCCTTCATGCTGGGCTTCTTCCAGGTCGGGAACGTTGTCATCATCTTCCTCGTCATCCGAATCATCATCATTTACGTCCTCGACGGTTGGCTCCTCATGCTTCTGTGCCTCCAGCTCTTTAGCGACCTCAGCTGCCGTCTCGGCCGTCATCTTGAACGTCCTCCCTTCAGCGGTCGGCTCGAGATCGAGAAGCGAAGATTCATTCTCGTTTTGCACATTCAGTAAGTAGTGGAGCCAGGCTTTCCGTCCTGTTATTCCTCTGGCCTGACGGCCGCGTGGAGTCCCAATTTTTTTTTTTTTTTTTTTTTTTTGAATGCGGACAACTTTTATATGAGCGGGGAACCGGGCCCCGCATCCCTTAAACCACCAGTACTTGGCCCAGCTATTGATGCCGAGCCGGGAAACACCCTGCGCGCCAAGTTCTGCCGAGCCGCCGCTGCGTCTTTTCGATTTTCTTTTGGCTGGCGCCTCCAGGCATTGTGGTCCGGTAGCCTGAAGCCCATCAGTCACGGGGGGAAACGCCCGCGGCCGATGTATGGGCCGAGTACTGGTGGTTTAACAATGTCGTTGTGCCCCCCCCTTGGGATGGCATCGCACCCCGAACCCAGAGGGGAGGTCACAGTGACCCCAGGAAAAGACAAATATTGCAGAATATCCACAGCGGATTCTGGTGTGCTATGAAAGGAATGTGCGAGCTAAAGCGAAATGCTAGAAGGGCTACAGCCTTCAGGCTTGGGAATGGTGGTAGGAAGATAGTGAAAGGTGAAAATGTGAGAAGAATATAATAGCTTAGTTAAACAAATAAAAATAAAAATAAATCATTGAACCTACTGGCATTCAGAATTATTATTTAATTGTTGACTGGCATTCAGATTTATTTAATTGTTAACTGGCGTGCTGCCATGTCATGCAACGTATCTTTCTTTCACTACCTACCTCCCACTACTGGGGACCCCTGCAAGCCTAGCTTTCTACCTCTCTTTGGTGAGAAGCGAGGTTACCTCTCTTGGTGGAAAGAGGTATTTACGGCATGTTTGCCCCTTTGCCCTGGGGCCGCCGGTGGGGCCCCAGCTAACACAAGGACAGAGCATTTGCCAGTAACTGTGCCTCCCTTTTTCATCTTCTGATTCTTCCCCCACCCCCACAGAGTAACGGTAGTGTCTAAGGGCCTCGCCAGACGGCACAACTAACGAAACGAAACGACCACCAAACTCGCGAGGCCTCGCGAAGCCCAGATCCACCGTTTCGCTTCGTTTTTCGCCTCACGGCCCCACAGCACACACAAAAACTCTCGTGAGAACGCCAAACGAGAGTCAAGCGGGATTCGTTTCGCTACGGTCCAAATTTTTGGACGCTACGGTCCAATTTTGAGGACGGACCTCGGTTGGAGCTACACGGCACACTCGTGAGATTTTGCAGCTCCTCCAGCCGACCAGCGGAGGACCTACGAGTTTGTGAGCGCTGCAGGCAGGGAGGACTAGCGCAAGCTGTTAACCTCGTGAACTTGGAGTCTGACAGCATTCACGACTTGCCTTCTGACAGAGGTTGTGTGGGTGCTGTGCGGCGACTCCTTCGCGAAATGAAATCGTTTTTTTTTTCGTTTTGTGCACCGTGCGGTGAGGCCCTAAAGCCAACACTCTCCCACGCACCACGCGCAACCCACTCACACGCGCACTCACAACCCTGTTGGCTGAAGACCTTACTGATACAGACTGGGAGGATCCAGCTGACTACTGGCACCAAGAGTGACACGGGGGTTGAACCCACGACCTCCTGAATGCCACTTGCCTGCCTAACCAATATGTGAGGTGAGAGAAAAATAAATGGCTGTCTCCCTACGAGGAGAAGGCAGCCACAGGTGCACGTGGGGACACACGAAAAAGCAAAAAAAACAAATTACTCGGATCTGCATTTCAATGGTTCACGAGTGTGCCAACTGAGCAGGCCCGAATCTTCAGGCACTGGGTATCCCAGATCTATAAAGATATGGGTACCGCTCCATACCTGTAATATCTTGTCGTGCTGCTGCAACGCGACAAGAGATCTCCTGGTGGCATGCCCAGTGCCTCACAAATTAAGCACAATAAGTTAATAACGCATAAATCAAAATGGATAATGGAATGAAAATGGATAAATGGAATGAAAATATAGCATACTAGTTAAAAAAAAAAAAAAAAAAAAAAAAAGGTTGGAATCAGGCTACCAGAGTGGCCCGGGGTCACTTGCCCGGCGGGTTCTCCCACAGGACACTCTGGCAGCATTCATATGATCCATACTTTGATATAAGGGACGCTGGACCTGTTTTCCAGCAGGTGCAGTCTTCGGGAGGATACGTGCTCTTATCACTGCCCTCCAGGGGCACGGTTCCACTAGCAAAGGAGTAAGGTAAGCCGTGTCCCACAAACACCTTTGGGACATCTGCGGGACATCGTCCGACCACTGATGCAGGAGAATCGGATGGCAGCAAAATTGCGAGGGAGTTATATTCTGAAGTGGTGTTTTTTTTTCTTTTGTGTGTGCTTTTTCTTTCCAGTTTCCAAGATAGAGGCGGGAAAAGAAAATAGAAAGACTCATTTTAATTGGCAGCTCTYCAAAAGATTRAAAAAAATCAAGTACTCGAAGGGCATAATTTTGACCCCCTTCTTTTTCTGGGTCAATTGTTAACCCCATCCAGTACTTCGATTCTCTCAAAATATACAAAATGCACGCTTCAGCATGGCAACCGTCAGAGGAGGGAGTCCCATCAGGCACAAGAAGGGACTCCCTCGAGGTGGTATGCGCGACTGCAACAGTCACGTACCACTCTGTCCTGATTAGGTATTGGCTGGGTGGGGAGCAGAGGGTGGAGACGGGAGGGTTAGTGGGACGGCTGCACTTTCAAAAGTCGACTTCTTTCCATCTCGGGAAATGTACCGTCGCCATTTTTCTTTTTTTTAAGTCTTTAAAATTACTTTTCTTCCTTTTCTTACAGTGCCGCACAGGTCCAAATAGGCCATGACTCGTGTGCTAGTGGAACCGTGCCCCAGAGGAACGTCCGCCTGATTGTTGTGGCAAAAAAATAAAATAAAAAAAAATTAAAGTTTTAGTTTTTATTCTAAATTTGGTGCAGAATTTTGATGTGACCCTGAGGCAAAAGTTGTTCAGTTTGATTTCCGGGAGGCCGCACGAAATGAGCGCTAACGCAGCGGCGATAGCGGCGGTGGCGGCGCCCGGTCGTCGGAGGCGGCTGCGTAGGTAGTGACGTGGAGACGTGGTGACGCTGATCCTTCACATGGCACCTACCCTGCCAGGCACCATAGCTGTGTGAGAGCTATGGCGACAGTGCCCTGGCGTAACCTTGCCCTTGAGTGGGGAGGGAGTGCTCTGCACTCATCGCCTTGGCATACTGGCAGTCCTATGCTCTATACCTGTAGAGTACCAACCTATATACCTAATAGTATCCAGATACCAGAGGAGCCGTCCTCCCCTTGAACCTCCTGGTCGTAAGGGGGGGCTCCTTTTCAATATCTAAAGGCTGGGCGTGGGACACGCAGGACAAGGTATTTCGTTCGCCTCGGTCATGAAGAAAGCATGGACGGCGAGGCGGCGCATCTAGACGCAGTGGGAGAGCGTATGGCTGCGGTGGCAGCGCTTCGGCTTGTCCAAAGACTATAGCAAGACTCGGTCGTCTTATCTACTTTTTTCACCATCTAAAGACCGCGTCTGCACGTCACGACAGGATAGCTGGACTGCTCTACTCATTAGGAAAGTTTGGACAGCGGAGCTGCGTATCTGGACGCAGTGGGAGAGCGTGCGGCTGCGGTGGCAGCGCTCCGGCACACTTAAGGGCTGCAGCGAGTCTCGGCAGTATGTTGTTCACTTGTTTCGTGTTCGGGGTTCGTGTGATTGAGTCTGCCATAGGTCACCCAAGCCTTGAGTGGTGCGGGGAGTGTTCCACACTCGACCTACGGCCATCCTGGAACACTGCGGTTCATGCATATAGTTACGGCAGTTTCGGGAATTGAATATGATGAAGACATGAGTTTCTGTTGGGTCTGTGAAGCCTCGAAGTCTTATGGAGCTTTAGAGTTCTTTTGCTGAAAGACTGTTTGCTCTTGTTGATTAGTGCCACTTGCCTTATTCGACATCGTGGGGAATTTTGAAGTCTGTTTGGGTTTATACTTGCGGTAAGTTCCTGGGATCTTCCCGCTATTGGTGGTTTTCGTACTTTATTTTGTAAAAGTGATTGTTCTTTAAGCCCAGGAAACAGTGGTGTAGGGTCACCCAAGCCTTGAGTGGTACAGGGAGTGTTTTACGCTCGACCCTCGGTTATTTTGGGATTTCCTGCGCACTATCCATCGCCAAAATACTTACGGTGGTATTTGGGAAATCAATATATACGTCGAAGTTGGTTTGGGTTTTTATAGCTCCCGGGATTTTCCTGTTGTGATTGATTCTTTCAGGGTACTCTGTCTTGTAGGACATATCGTAGTTTATTTCGTAGAAGAGGCAGTTCTCTAAGTCCAGTAATAGTACTGTTGGGTCACCCAAGCCTTGAGTGGTACGGGGAGTGTTCTACGCTCGACCCTTCGTCATCCTGGGAATTCTGGTGCCTAATGTTCCAATGAAATTACCTACGGCAGTATCTGTAAAATTAGATGATCAAGACATGAGTTCCGTGTTGGGTCTGAGCAGCTTTGACATCCTTGGGGTGGCGGCACCATTAGTGGGAGTGGGAGGCTTACTAGTGGCGGTGGGACCGTCGCCCGGGCGCAATACGTAAGTTAATTCCCAGATTGTGGTTGGAGGGATGGCTGACCTTTAGAATAGGGAGGGTGTCATGGGGTCACCCATGCCTTGAGTGGTGAGGGGAGTGTTCTACGCTCGACGTTGTGCCACTTGGAAATTATCGTTAGTTTTCTTTTACTCCCTCTTTAGACGTAGTCATTCATTTCCCTTCTTCTGTATGGGAATTTTTTGGTCTCTCCATATGTGGCTGTTTTTACCAGTACGGAATTGGGATGGGTTAGTGTTTATTTGTTTATTTGGGGAGATAACACCACCACGTTTAGTTTGAAGTTGGTACGAGTTTGGGTTGAAATTTGGGATTATTTAGTCTGCTTTTGGAATAATTTTAGGGATAAAACTGTAAAATCCGTCGTGAATTGCCTTGCGCGTTTTCGAGATTTGCAGATTTAAATTTGTAGTCCTTGGCCAATAGTGTTTCGGCTGTAG